TGTTTTATTAGTTAATTATTATTTTTTTTACTGTTACTCGTATATAAATTATGAGCATGCTTTATTCATAGCAAACATTTACATATAATAAGGTTTTCCGTTAGTAAGTGTTAAAATAGTTTTATAGAATTTTAAATTTTCCAGATATGTTCCAACTATTTAAGGTATGGATTGCATATTTTTTTCGAAACTATGCCGCCCTTTCCATGGCATCCGCAAACATTTGCATATCAGTGTAGACTGGTTGGGTTTACTCTAATATGCAGACTTCCTTTGGGACGTAAGAAGTAAGCTGTTTTTGTTTCGTCCATGAACCAATATTGTTATAGAACCATTTTCGATAGATATCGGACATAACTCTGTTGTGGATCAGGTTGACAACTCTGAAATTATTTTTGGATATTTCGAAAATTATTAACTGTATGGAACGCATTCATATCGATGGGTTTGTTGAAACAGGAAAGTTTATCATTTGAAAATTGTATTTTACTGCATATCGTCGGCTTAATTCTAAATGGTGCAAAGTACTTTTCTGCTTAGGTTTATCATAGAATTGACACGGAATGGATTGCAAAAGTTATAATTAATTTGGCAGAGAATTTGGTTGCGATATATTTTGCATGTTCAAAAAAATAGTTTTAGGGTTTAATATTTAAATACAAGTTTGAAAAAATTGAGCAAAATGAAGTCGTGATTTTCATATACCCCGCAGGGATTACATTTGAATGGATGTCGCCTTCATTCTAAAGATTAATATTCTAATAAAATTAAATAATTTTAATAAAATAAAATCATTACATTTATGTATGTATTGTGTATGAACTACATAAATTCCCAAGATACGAATTTATTTGCAGTAGCGCATCCAATTTGTCAAATTCTCGTACCACTCAAATTTCTCCGTGTGTGAATTGGGTGTAAACTTTGCTCTGCTATACTCTGAATCCAAGGGGACCATTATTAAATAGGAAAGACAAGTGTCGTGTGATTTCCTGACACTACTCGATAAAAATCACGGTGTAGCTTGAGAAACGGTCCCCTTGTTAAATTGGAAATGTACAGGTAATAAAAATGCCATCTGATAAGTGTATACGAGTTGAGCTTGAGCGAAATGAGAAGGCTTTACTCCTTAATGCCATTTCACTGCCTAGGTAGTCTCAAGGGCTTCCACTCTAAATAATCCGGTAACAAAGGGCATTACCAGGCGGAGTATTATTTACTGGTAAACATTTGTTAATAATCACCTAAACTGGTAGCATCTTCAAATCCCGCGGCTTAACCTTTTCCCAGCTTTGTTGTAAAATTACTACGAGTCGATGACAAATTTATTACCGTTGAAAAACAGTCACATACACATTTGTTTTTCCCGCATTATTTAGAGTTAGAGTGCCCGATTTATGCACCTTCAGGTAGCTGACCTTATGCATGAGGTAGCAACCCTTCCTTTCTTATTTGTCAGTGAACAATAGACCTGTGTAAATTTATAGAAAAGGGTCAAATAACCAGATTTTAGTCCAAACTATCTAGTAACAGTGTTACTTTTATTTTAAATGCACCTCACCGCATTCTAATTCGAAGTCAGCATTACCTTGCACATTTTTAATAAATATTTATTCATGTTTTAAGGTTTGGAATATTTTTCACGATAATTAATTTCCTAGACACGTTTTGTATGTATGTAAATACTCGTCATGTGCATTAAGAACGATGGCCGTGTGCCTAATTTGCACATAATTTAACCATTTTAAAAACTGAATTCATCTCCATGAAATTTAGAAGTGACATTACGACAAAATCCCATTTTGCCGTTACCCTCCCAGAGGTATTTTTCCCATTTTTGGCACGTTTTTGAAAAATGGATAATTTTTCAAAATTGAATTATTATATGGAATGAATAGCATCTGTCATGATTTATTATAGGATGAAACCCTATAATGGACAGAGTTGCGTTAAATAATGCAATAATTATTTAAATAATAAATAATAAATAATTTTCATTTTCAAAATTATTTAAATAATAAATAATAAATAACCACAAAATTCTCAAAATTATTTAAATAATAAATAATAAATAACCACCAAATTCTCAAAATTATTTAAATAATTAAATAAGCAGATTATTTAAATAATTAATTAAAGCACTAAATAATTTAAATAATGTTTCCTTATTTGATACATCCTAAATAATTGTTGAAGTAGTACTATATCAATTGTTGCAGCCAAACACTAGCAAAGATAGCTTCAAATAATTCACTGGTTAATTTGAACGCTTTGCCCACTGGGTTCGGAAAACCCCGGGTTTGTCTAGAAAAACCCTAACCCTTGGGTTTTTACGGGGTTTTTGGGGTTTTTTAGGTTTTTGGGGTTTTTGTGGGTTTTTGTGGGCTTTTGTAGATTTTGGGGCGGATTGATACAAATTTCTTCAAATTAAGTATTAGAGTAAAACTAGGTCAATATTCGAATTCAGGTTGAAATTTTAAGCATTTTCATATGTGACTTGGGTTCTTAAGTCTAAGGTTCATGTTTAACATGTAAACCAAGTAGGAAATCAGGATTTGCTTGTTAATGATCTGTGGAAATTCAAGTAGCATATGAAAATGCTCAAAATTTCATTCTGAATTCGAATATTGACTCAGTTTTACTCTAATACTTAATTTGAAGAAGTTTGCTTCACTCCGCCCCAAAATCTTACAAAAACCCCTGAAAAACCCACAAAAACCCACAAAAACCCCATTAAGCATTGGGGTTTTTCCGAGATTTGATACCTCAAAAACCCCAAAAACCCGGGGTAGCGTACCCTGTTTGCCCACGAAATCATGCCAGCATAAGTAAAATCTGTTTCAATAGGAGTATAGGCAGAGAAGTTGTTTTAAAGTTAAAAAATACTTCTAATTATTGAATATGAGAACAGCTTTTCAATATCAAACTCCCTTATTTATCTTCGAAGTATTTTAAGCACTCCAACTTAATCCGATCCTTCGAATTATAACTAGCTAGCGGCCAAACGGTCCGAAATATCAAAGCGAAACCTCGTCGTTTCAGCAAGTGCATTGGTTTTCTTGAATTTCAATGTTCAAACTTTTGGATTAGACTGAAGTTTTGACATCATTTTGAGAAATATTGCACTTCAAAATTATTTAAATAAGGCAATTATTTAAATATTTAAGAAACTGTCAGTTGGAGATTATTTAAATAATAAATAATCTTCGCACTTATTTAGTTTTAAATAATAAATAATAAATAATCTCCGGGCGTTATTTATTTTTAAATAATAAATAATTTTCGAGCGTTATTTAAGCATTATTTAAATAAAAACTTATTTAAATAACGCAACTCTGATAATGGATGTGTCTTGTCTGTGAGTCAGTCCATCTCAATTCCTACTCTGCGAGGAGAGTCATGAGATATTGTCTATCCACGCGATGTAACACTAATATAGGGTTTGAAATGTAGTACTTATGCGCCAGAGGGGCGTGTATATGTATGTATATGTATGTATGTACTAAAGTCCCTATAGTGACCTGAATCTGACCTCCAGAGGGGAGGTCACCCTTTCTATTCGGTGCAAAGCAAATGGTTAAGTGCTATGTAAGCAACAATGTGAATCTTCAGTAATAAATAAATAATTTATTGACCAAATAAACTTGTAAAATATTATTTAAGGAGAAGATTGTGGAAAATATGTTGCTGCTGAGAGAGATTAGACTGAAGTTGTTTAAGGTAGGAGAGTTTAGACTGAATTCTGAGAGAGAGGAAGAAGGCGAGGAAGAACCTCGCTTCCCTGAGAGAAAGTCAGATTGGGAAAACCTGCCAGGTGGCAGGAAGGATAGAGTGTTCCCGGGAATGGGGCATTTCCGGACCCGTATCACTGGTTTGATCACGACCAGTGGTACGGGTTACAGCGACCTTACGGATGGTTATGCCCACCTAAAGTGCAGAGGTCAACGCCGCCAACCTTACGCCGCCGCCGCCGGTACTATTTTACGCGCCGCCGCCCCCGGGAGAAATTTTCGGCCCGCCGCCGCCGACGCTGCCACAGGCAGAAGTTTGGGGCCGATTTTATTTTTTCCTCAATACCTAGATTTTGGTCGAATTAAAATTTGGAAGGTCGATATTTTGTCAATATTTCAGTCCGAAACCATACCTTTCATTATATGGTCACTTCTGATGCACTCACTATGCGTATGCATGACGAAATTTTATTCGATTTTGTCCAGACAAATTTAAATTATCATTTTTTGAAAATATTTTGGCTTTACCTTAATTATGTCCTTGGATTTATTAACATTTTAAAAATTTCGACTTTTCAGGAAACCGTAGAAAATTTTACTAAAAATTACGGGTGATTCTTAAAACCTTTCCAATGAAAATATTTTCAATTTATTTCAAAAAATTTCAGAAAATATATTTATCCTCAAGATATTAAATATTTGTCGCGTAACTTGTGGCCAGAGTCCGGCTAAATATGTTCTTAAAAATCCTGAAATATTTATATAAAATGTTTAATCAAATCGCCGAAATACGTATAAAAATATTTTTAATTACTTCTAAATTTCTTCAAATTAAATTATTTGACTACAAGAATGTCAAAAAAGTTTTTACATTTCAAAGTGACAGATATCCCGCATTTCCACATGCCTTGCTGTCAAATTTATGTATACGATGATGGGACAAAATTAATTTAGTGCATACTTTAAGCACCCAATGCTACTGGGCAAATAACATGTGAAGTTAAAAATTTTTGTACATCATTTATTAAGTAGCGCAAGCTACTTTATGCGATCGGTTTGTTAGTCTGTCTGTCTGTCTGTCTGTCAACACTATAACTCGAGAACGCATCAAGATAATCGAAATCGGTTTGCGGCATCATACACACGACCCCAGGGGGAGGATCCCGTAAATTTTTGGACCACACCCCCTCGGCGCCAGGGGGTGTGGTCGCAGTGTGATCGGGGCAAAATGAGATTTATAGCGCAAATTAATTCTCAGCATTCTCAGCATTATTGCGCTACTTATGTATCGTGCTTTGCCGCACTTTATTAAGCATGAATTTCTGGCGTTTTTTACAAGAACATATTAATATTTTTGACAAAATCGCCGAAGTATGTAACAACATATTTATATATACAATTCTTCCAAATATGCAAAACATGTGAAAGCCTTGTGGCCTATTGTTGACCATAAGCAAGATCCCAAAGTTTCAATTTATTCTGATTATTATTAAAAACAAGAAGCACACAGAAGGATTCGTACGGAGGTCAGATGTACGTAGGCTTGCCGTGAGAAAAAAATCGCTGAAATGCGTATTTAATATTTATGAAGAAAACGGCACAATATTTTTTATAGATATTTTATACTAGCCTTATCTACAAAATTGTTTGGCATAGGCAAACTCTGTGAGACACTGCTCTACTAATTACTCAATAAAAACCATATTAATTTTTTTATTATAAAGAGACGACGTATAAGGGATCATAATAAATAATTGTGATCAACACACAAGGTAAGCTAACTATTTATTTAACTTTTTATTGAGATAAATAAATTATGTATCTATGAAGTCGCAATTTTTCAATTTACATAAGGTACCTACAAAAAAGAGGCTGTAATTTTAACGATTATAAAACTCATACCCTGTCCCATCCATGTTCACTGGAAAATTAGGGAATATCATTTAAAAACTTAAGTCGATGATAGAACACGACTCGCCTAATCCCACCAACCAGTTTTAGCCCTTGAGCATAATAATTATCTGCGATCGTCTGCTCGAGATACTCCTCAGGGGTGAAGTCGATACCAAGCAGGGTTTCACTACAGCCTGCCGGAGCTGTAGGAAGCACTGGAAGTGGTGGCGAAGGCGGTGGGTCGTCGTCCTTCTTCTCCATCCTCCTTCTCCCCTCGGGGGGCAGTAGACTTGTCGCCGACCAACCACTATCAGAAGGAAAGAGGGACGGATTAAGTTTTATTATGGCATAAGGGTCCGTCACGAATAACAAAACATCGGGATCGGACGGAGAAGGAACTGATCCTGCATCCGGTTGCTCGTCTGGGCCTGATCCCGGCGTATAGGGATCTTCGCGTGCACCTATCTGTTCAACCTTTTGTAAATCCACATTCGAATCGGGATCATTGTTAATCGACGGAATTATCAAGTCAATTGATTCTCTATGGTCTTCTTGTAATTTTTTATCCGTCACCTCAGCAATTTGATTGCCACTTTCTTCGCCCACTATCTGGATAACGTCTGCCTCGAGATCCAGTGAAGGTGTCCCCACTACCCCTTCTGGCAAATCTGCGTCAACTTTTCCCTGCTTTGCTGGTGTGGGTAGCATCCTCGAAGCGATCGGATTAAAGAATGTATCCGGCTTGTAGCTGACTAGATCCTCGGGGAGGTGCAAGTCCAATTTGGGGTAAGTTTGGCGCAAGATGGCAGACGTGACTGGATAAACACCCATGTGCGACAATCCCTTAACCGCATTCCACAGATTTATGATGTGTTCGCTATTCTGGAATTTAAAAATGGAAATGACATATTTCGTCAGTAACTGTTGAGGTAATTTGTTTAAGGATACCATGTAGGGTCCTCCTACATTATTTGAGACAATTTTACCCCCTCAAACAGTAAATGCACTCTCAATTTTATAATTATTAATTAAGTCTGAAGTATGTAACCTATACTGAACACATACTGTGAATTGAGCATAGTTTACTAAAAATGCAGAGGTATAAGGTGGTCCTCGCCGATCTTGGCCGGACTAATTTTAAATTGTTCACGTTCAGAAATAAACCGACCCGTATGTTTCCTTTCCCCTGAATGGGCACGCATTCGCGTGTAGCGGGATTTTTAAAAAAATCAGCCAAAAACTGGATTTTTTAAAACTTTTCGTATTTTCCCAGATTTCAAAAGTTAATCCCAATTTTTGTTCAGAATTACTTCCCCGGAAAAATTCATTTGTAAAAATTTTCAAAATTGGATATTTTCTTTCATGCCATTTCTGAATTTTTAATAACTCAAAAAACGTTATTTTTTGAAAATCACAATTTTCATCAAATTGAATTTTGTATATTCTCAGGGAAGCAGTTCTAAGCAAAAATTGTGTTTAATTTTTGAAATCGGGTTAAAATTAAAAAATTTATAGCGTTTTGAAAAGTCGAGATTTTGGCTGAGTTTACAAGCAAATTTGAAATGACAAAAAGTTTCCACTACGGGTTTCAAGCCAAATATTTTTTTAAAACTTTGAGTTCTGTCAATTGTCTCACGAAGGCAATGAATTTCGATTTATTTTAAATGTCACGGTTTACAAGAAAGTTACAAAATGTTATGAACAAACACGTAACAAAAAATACATTTGTGATGGGAATTAAATAAAATGTGTGTTATTTGTAATTTATGTTTGATTAAATTAGAGAGAAATGTTAGGAAAGATGAGAAATATTATGCTAAACTATTAGCTATTTATGTATTATTCAAAATACCATTTAGTTTGAACTTCCCACGGCTTAAATCAACCAATCCTGAGTTTTTACCACTTGTTACCAGTTTATACCACTTTTTACCATTTTACCAATTTTTACCATTTTACCACTTTTTACCACTGTGATGGTAAAAATCAAACCAAGTGGTAAAATTTAAAACACTGCTTAAATACTTAAGTAAGGCTTATTTCTGAAAGTGAAAAATTAGAAATTAGTCCGGTCAAGATCGGCGATGACCAGCTTACACATCTGCATTGTAAGTACAGAGTTTATTTACTTTTTAAAACGGCAACATTAATTGTACCTACTGAATCCGTCCAAATATGTTCGTTTCTTATTTACTCATCACGCACTAAACTATGGTTATCCCTTCACCCTAAATTTCATTCACCAATCAACCAGTGTACTGATTCTGCGCATTTATGTACGAACACAAAATATAATAATTATCATAAATAAACTTGACAACTTCCAAAATAATTTATGCATGTACATATTTATTTTGGAAGTTGTCAAGTTTGCTGCGCTTGGTGAATTTTATGTGTTCTGTGTTCGCTCACCAATAAACATTTGTAAAACTTCCTGAGTATTGAAAAGAGAGGACAACGAGGGGAAATAGTTACTTATAAATTATCAGGCTGGGTTGCAGATTTCCCAAGGAGATTAAACAAGTTTGGAATTGCGCCCATTTGAAAACCTGCAGTAATCTGGGTCCGCGTGTTGATTCGCTCCACAAATGTTGCGTATTATAAAACCTACCTCATATTTATCTTGAGACGCTGCCGTTTTAAACAATCCCCCCAATCGAGCGTCCACTGGGGTGAAGGCGGTCTCTGGGGCCAACTTCCTGTCACGTTGCAGCACGCCAACGTATATCCAGAGAAGCGCGAGCGCCACGACGTGTTCGTATCGAGGTCCAACTTTTTCGCACATTTTGTTCAGCATTCCACAAATTAGGATGGACGGATCCTTGGCGGTCGAATATTTGGGGGTAATGACCATTTCAGCGATCAGCGCGGGTAGCCCCGCCAGGCCGGCGGGGGAACAGATCTTATGACACATGGCTAACTGCAGTGGATCGAGATGAGCGGCAATGTTGTTTTTTTGGACCGGTTTTTTGTAATAGTCGCAAATTGACGGTTTTACGGGGTCATATCCATCCATCTTTTTGGGTGGGACAAGTTTGGGGTAAAAGTCGAAAATTGACCGTTTAACGGGTTTACCTCCGTACGCAGTTAGGCCAATAAGATCCACTCTAGTCAATATTTTTCCCTCAGGTTGAAACGTATTGGCTTTGGTCAGGATGATTTCTTCCATTGTGCAACGTTCGGAGCCTATTTTTCGAACATCTTTTTTAACCATTTCCTCCCAGACGGGACCCAACTTCCCGGAGTGGTGAATCATCACCATGATTTGGTGGAGGTCGAGTAAACTCTGAAATTTTAACGAATAAGCAACGTTTTAAAACAAGGGGATTCTTAAACATCATAGTGACGTTATTTTTTCGAAAAATTTGCAATTTGAGTTTTCGTTTAGTTGAAATTAGACTTTAGTTTGCGTAAATGGTCCATAGCTCGCAAAATGTCTACGAACGGTCCTTGGTCCAGCATGTTAATGAATGATGGACCAAGGACCGTTCGTAGACATTTAGTTTGCGTAAATGGTCAACCGAAATTTGAAACCACTTCGGAGAAACGATTCAGGTTTATAGTTTTAAACAGGTTTCCAAACTTTTTCGTAACGTATTCAGATAAGATTGTTCATGCAAACTAAGGGAAATACGAATTACAAACCTTGGCATGATTTTCTATGCAAAAAGTGAACAATTCCTTAACTTTCCGACATCTTTCACCTTGAAAGAGGGAGTTCTTTTCTTTGCTCAGGACTTCAGCATAAGCCCAACAAAACGCGACCCATTGGTCGCCGTCGACTAACGGCTGCAAACAAAATTGTCAAATTAACCATTTTTTTATTTGTAGGACTCCTGTGCAGTTTTTTTCGATAAAATTCTCTGCAACTTTTAAATACCAGAACTTAAATAAAAGAATTAGATTTTTTAATCAATATTTTCCTCGATGTAATTCTCATTTTACATCGTTGTAATTTTGCAATTTTTAGTGACAAGAGATGAGAGATAGATGGTCGATTAATCCAAATATTTTCCTGATGACTAAATCGTCGTAAAATTGGACATGAAATACTAATGTCTGAGGGATTTATGTAGACATTGTTTGCGTCAGGAAATGTGTTACACGACCAATTTTCCCAAGAAATTTGTGAATCCGCAAATCTCAACTAAATATGTCGGAATTTACGCGTTCATGGGTGGGTAGCTTTTAAAATTGGTAAGTATCACAAAAAAATAATTTTACCAACTCTAACAAAATTCAACTACACCCTTCACCTGTCGTTTGAGTTCAGGTAGTCCATTATGTTTTTTAGAATCTACTGTGACCTAGATGAAGGAATCATTCATATTTCCGTGCAAAACTAATTTTTGGCACCACATTCGCCAACTTTTACTGTTTTTAATTTTAAAACCGCCATAACTTTTGAAATCCTGGACGGATTTTCATAATTTTTTACGAAAATCATGACAAAGAGTTCAACTTTAGAATGCCAAAAAATTATGGTTTTTAAGTTTGTAATTTTCTTAAACAGGGATTCGTCTAAAAAATGGTAAAAATATCTCAAAGATTCTAAATTTTAGTTTTTTTATTTTTTCCTTATTATTTTGACTTTGGTGACCATTTTTAGTATACAAATTTCAAAACCTGACGTAAACAGCAAAAGTTATTAAGGTGGTCGAAAATACAGAGTTTTAAGTTTGGCGCCACGCCATAGCGCCAAAGATTAGTTTTGCACGGAAATATGAATGGATCCTTCATAAATTTATGGTCCTAGTAGATTCTAAAAAACATAATGAGCAAATTTTGTAGTTTCCTAAAAAAAATATTGATACGATTTGTTAAAAGTTTGCACAATTTACTGAGTTTATAATGTTACCAAAACCTGCGCGAATTGCCTCAATACATTTTACTTTTTTTGTGAAAATTCTACGAAATTTTGTCATAATAATATTGATACACGAATTTTAAGAATCATTACCACTCTGTCCTCGAGATATCGGAGGCATTTATGAACGTCCCTGTCGCGCCTAACCAGACTGACTAATTTCTCAATGTAGACGAACTCCGACCCCTTGGGAATGTTGCAATTTTTATATGTCACATTATATTCTTCGATTAATTCTCTAAAAGCGGTAAAGTTTCGTTCTGGTTTCATATTTTTATGGACACTTTACACTTTCTAGGCCAACGTTTTAAAGGATTTGGAATTTATTAAAATTTATAATTTCCGAGAAATCTGTGTAATTGAGGAACATGTGTTTATGAGCAGCTTTTATGTACACTCGATCCTTTAACTGGGTGAGGATGAGTTTGGTCTAAACAAGATTCAGCGTAAGAAGATATAAGTTCAGGTTGGAAATGCATGACATACAAGAAGAAGAAGCATGTGAATGGCCACACAATAAAGACATACGTCAGCCCAGCCAGATTCTAGTGTTACTAGATAAACTGTTATACAGAAGATAAGTTTATAAACCTGGTCGGATACCCGTGACATAAATATGTCTGTCAGCAGCATGCGAATGGCCACATATCTATGTATGCACCGTATGCACATACCTGCAATGGTGAAGGAGTCAGGGCAGGGGCGTAGCCAAGGGGGGGCTAGGGGGCTTGAGCCCCCCCCCCCAGAGCCAGGAAAAAATAAAAAAATAAGTGAAATAAAACAAAATACGAAAATAAAAATAAAATTTAAAAACTGAAAATTGGGTCACAAATTAAAGGTATAAATGTGAAGTTATTTCATAATAATAACCGATTATCTTAGTTTTTAGATTTAGGTCGTATTTTCAAGTTTTTTTGTTAGCAAATTTTTCTTTAACAATTCCCATGCAGTCTTTCTGCCACATCCGAATTTGGATGTGGTTTTTTTACGGGCTTGCACATAGTTTCCGCTTTTAAATAATCAAAATCTGGCTATTATGATGGTCATAACCAGCTTATGTATTAAAACACATAAGCAATGGTCGTTCCCTCACATTAAGAAACCCAGATAAAAAAGTTATGTTTATTCAAGTTATGTTTAAATTTGTCTCCTGAAAAAATAGCAAATTCATTTTTGAGGAAATTCATTGTGCTAAAATTGGAAGTGAATTTGCTAATTTTTTAAAAAATTCACGAGATAAATTTAAACATAACTTGAATAAACTTAGGGTAAAATTCATAAATTCTTTGTAGTACCAAAAATTAACTTTACATTAAAGTATCAAATGTTGCATTTCTCTCAAAATTCATGACGTCGACGACGTTTTAGAATTTGCATATAAATACATTAAACTAGGGTTGAGTGAGACGATGAAATGGATTTTTAAACCTGGACATAGAACATGCGGTGCAAAAATCACATTTGCGCGAAATATTTGGCGAGAGCTGTACTAAAATATGTGGCTTTTCTTACGCTTTTTCAAAAATAGGACTGCCGTTGGAACGATGAAATGTTTAGAATTTATTTATCTTTCCCTAATTTCATTCCTATGGTTATGCAAAATGGCGATGAACAAGTTTGCCAGTTTTAGTTCGTAAATTGTGAAAATCCGGAAAGTTTTCTAAATTTTAGTTTTTTCAGTCCCATCATAATTTGAAAGTTCAACTTATTTTATAAAGTGCAAAATTTTTTTTAAATATTTGTTTGTATCGCAACAAAATTGGCGGGAATTTGAAAATTGAACTTCACACTTTCATGAAAACGAGACAAAATGATCCTACTGCTCTTTTAACGCATTTTTTAAATGATATGATTATTTTTCCAAGTTTCAAAAAAGGTTGTAAATTTCCAGTTTATAGTAGAACAGTTATTTTGTTATATATAACAAAAGAACTGTTCCAAGCCCCATTGGAGATTTTGAGCTTTTATGAAACTGGAAAAATTGTCAACTGGTCGGTGTGCTGCATGGAAAAGTTATTTTGGACCACGTTAAAAACCGAAATTTCCAAACGCTTTTGAAACTTGAAAATATAAATAGAAGGAAGGAAGCTTATGAAGGAAGCAATGAGGGTATTCATGAGTTCGCGTGCTCGCATTGCAGCATAAATTTTTCGAAATTCCGAATATTTCGAAGCAACGAACTGATGACACTTCTCAAATGAGAAAAATTTGTAAATCTCCACTAATTATCAAAGTTTTGCATCTGAAATTTGTCAAGTCAGAAATTTCAGAAATTTCAAAAGCCAAAACTTCGGTAACTAATTGAGATTTACAAATTTTCCCATTTCAAAATTACTCATATATATATGAGTAATTTCACATATATGTGAAAAAAAATAATTTGGCAAAATAATTTGTCGAACTCAGCACTAGCCCTGGAGATGCGCAAGTTCCCGAATAAATTTTCCAATCAATTTTTGCGAACTTGCGAACTTTATTTTTACAAACGTTTCTTACGATGCGAACTTGAAACGTATACCCTAAATATTTACAAATACGTAACATAGAACATCATGGTTATTGTAGTTTATTATAAATTTTAGACCATTCTGTTGCGACAAGAAAGGAATTTTGTTTAAGAACTTCTTTGCACATTATAAGAGAAGTCGTACTTTTAAACTATTTTTCGAAAAAATGGGGGTTTAATTTTTTCCCCAGCTTGGCATTGGCGAATCAGTGTCCGGCTAAGTCAGGAATGTGGCAGCATTCTTCCTAAATATTACATTCTAAAACAATGGGTTAAGTTTTCTTCCAAAAATTACAGAAATTGAGTTTTGTCAAATCTTGCAAACTTCGGTGATTTTTAGCAAAAAACCGTGACACACCCTACCCAATATTTTTTAATTATATTATTTAGTATAAATGTCCCAACATTCCTGACATGCCTGGATACGGATTGGACAACGCCAAGGTTTCGAAAGAAATTGAAACCCCATTTTTACCACAAATTGTATCGTATCTTGCAAGTTTAGGTTATTTTTAGCAAGACAACTATGACACCTCACCGGCGGCTTTTTATATGTTATGCCCATATGTTGCAAGTATCTAATCCAGTCAATAGTTGGACCGATATCGATGAGTAAGATACGATAAAAATTTAAAAACTAGAAAAATCTGGACATTTTTCAGGAATATTTTGGCATCCGCGCTAAAATTTTTCCTTGGGTTATATTTTCATGAGTTCGTTTATTAATGTTTTAGTGCATAATGTAAGTGGCTTCATTTTTTACCTCCGACATTTCCACAGATTCGGTTGGGTTTTAAAGATATGGCCCAGCAAACGACAAAAAGATGAGTAATTAAAAATTTTGGTTTTTTTCTCAGAAAAGTGGTCGCCGGTAATTTTTTTCAACTTTTCGTAATTTATTTATTATTGACCCATTATGACCTTCAAAATAAAATAATAAAAAGTTGTGGCCATTTATGACCCTCTGATTTCCTTTAAGAAAAAAACTAAGCAAAATTCACGGAATTAAGCAGATTTTCACAATTAAAACTGGCAAACGTTTGGATCATTTTTTAGTAGATCGACGCGAAATTACGGACAAATAATAATGCATAAATACTTCATCCCCATACCGTTATCTATTCAAAACCAGCATTAGAATTACACATTGATTTGCAGTTCTCGCCAAATATTTGGAATGATTTTCGAAACATATTTTCGAAAAATCACGTCCTCGAGAATGAGATGACGTTATTTTACAACGCTTCTGTCGTGACAAAGTTTAAGTTACACTATATTATCTGTCAATTAAGATTGTATGGAAGGAAATTGAGATGCGACAGAGCGTAAGGTAGGACTGCCAATGAGTTGAGTCGAGTTGAGTTAGGGGGTTAACTAAACTCAACTCAATAAGAAAAATCGTCGACTCAAACTCAACTCGACTCAAATCAACCTCAACTCAAACTCGACTCGACTCAAATGCCAACAACTCAGACTCAACTCATGTGAGTCGACTCCATGAACCTGTATAAGTTATATACATTCATGGTTGACGCACGTCTGTAGCGTAGAGTATTTATTTATTTAACTTCTATTTAATTAGTCATTGTTAACAAGGTTTTGCAGTGCAAAATTTGCACTTTAGATTAGAGGTTGGTTTGGTATTAATTCGATACTAATATATTAGTACTAGAACTGATTTAGAGAAATTTTAGTGTCAAGGTAATTTTTGCAGTATAGTATACTGAGTATACATATTTCATTTCTGGTCCACCATCGAAAATGCTACATATTTATATATACCGTTAACTTGATACTTCAAAGTATGCGGCCAGGTTATGTGTATTTCGTACTCACGAGTTAGACAAATATTTAACCCTTAAGGCTAATAAAATTGAAGAAACTATTTTATTTGTCGTCGAAATTATGAATTTGAAATGCACATGGAAATTTAAGCAGGGTGACGTTTAGCTTCATAATTTCGACGACAAATAAAATATTTTCGTCGAATACATAAGTACATATCTAACGCAGTACAACTATTAATCTTGCACTTGCAATCAAAAATTTGACAAAATTCCATTTTTCTGCAAAATCTTTGACCACCTGAAAAAAGACTTTGGACCATAATGATATTGCGAGAGAAATATGAGATTGATGTCCCATTTGTCTCCGCATGTCGCTTAACAAATCTTGGTCAACTTCAGATTGTATATTTTTATTTCAGCCTGCCTAGGAAATTCTAGCAATCCAATATGCGAATTATTTAGAGAGAAAGTAATTAACGACGAAAAACGTGATTAATTTTATCGCAAATGGCTGCCATTATATTTTAGTGTCTACTTCCGTAAGGTGAAAATCTTGAAATGCCCAAACCAGCATCCAAAAAAATCCTTAATGAGTTGACTCATGAGTCAACTCGAACTCGTTTTTCGTAACTCAACTCCAACTCATTATTGCTCAACTCACTCATTTGGAACTGAGTCGAGTTATACGCTCGACTCAAACTCAACTCGAACTCATTAACTCATGAGCCAAATGAGTTGACTCGAACTCATTGGCAGTCCTAGCGTAAGGTTCTCTACAGACAAGAATTTTTGAGAAGTTTATTTACATGAAAACTTGGTGGTTCTTAATACATAGGGCTAAACTAGATGTGCTAATGTGTTTATTCGGTGTTAAAATGTTTTACTTAAAATGGTATGAGCCATTCGGTAACTGAATGTAGAAATCTTAAAGCTAAAAAGGCCCATTTATTTGGGTAATATGTATTTTTTTGGCTGAGCCCCCCCCAGGACCCAATCCTGGCTACGCCGCTGGGTCAGGGGCCCTTCCGTGTAACAAAAATTTGCAACGCACGAGAAGCAGGGTTCGTATGTTTGTATAAATGCTAGGGTAGGTTATCCGACGGATCGGATCGGATCGACGGTTCAACGGATCGGATACTCCATTATGTATGTCGGATAATCCGATCGGATATTCGGGCCAATCCGATCCGAATCCGACGGATTTCCGATCGGGTCGGATAGCCACCTGTAAATTTTTAAAAGTCAATCAAATCTGCTAATTATACATGTAAACTAGAATAATAAGCTTATCTAAGTAAGTGCTGTAATAATTAATTACAAAAACAATTACACTTGATTTTACTTAAGTAATTGATAACAATTATTTTTATAATCAGTTACTTCATTAACTATAAGAAACAATAGAGAAGGCAAAATTAATTTGTATGATGGCTTAAAATTTGTGCAATTTTATGTACATGAAGAATCTGAAATAATATTGGGGTGGCCCATGTGTGCTTTTTGCACTACGAGCCAAAATGTGCGAATTTTTTGCGAATTTTGAGAAATTTGTATTTTGTCATAAAATCGTCAAATGTAGTGTAGTGTAATTCACGAATTGCAACCCAGCAAATCCTTCTCTAATTTGGCCACGTGTTTATTTATATTTTTCCATGAAATATGAAAATTATGAACAAAAACTTTGAACGAATCTTTCTCTCAATGTTTTATTACTGAACGTTAATTCTTCTCAGCGACATGCAAAACACAAATGCTCATAAGGGAATATTTTCTAATTTCCTAATATATTTTTATTTTTTTTATACTAACATATTTAGTTTATTATGCCATTTCAGCTTGATTTCGCAGGTTAAAAATTTTTCCAAAACGTAGGATGTCTGATCGTCAGGTTTTCTTTTATTTAAATTGAAATGTTCTTTACGTTAGGAGCGCGATTTCGACAAAATTTTATGCGAGAGGTACAGGTAGGGTTAGAGGTCTTAAAAATGGCTTGTCGTTTTGCACCTTTTAGGATATTTTTGGCAATATATTTGTTGCTGAATTTCAATGATGTTTCCCGGAGTCCACGTCATATCTCTATCTTGGTTTTGAAATGGGTCGTAAGGGGATCCCCACCCCCACCCTCCAGACAGACCTGGGGGGTAGCTACATAAATAAAATAGTTACAAGTACACTCTTACAATAAATCATGTTTTTTTTCAAGCTACGCCGGGATTTTGACAGATATATTAACGAATAAATCTGAAAATTGTGGTCCAAATGACTGTAATTTTCGCGTTTTTGAAAGTTTGATATTGAAAAGTAAACTTGAGCTTACCATCCTCCATAAATTATGAAAGGGTAGTTGCTCTGACGTGCCGATCGGGTTTTTGTGGGCGTTAATACTTTTGCGGTGCGATGATTCCCCAAATTTAGATCAGATTTGGGACTTGCCAATTTCTCAGGTATATTCTCCACCATTGATGCGTCCTTTATCGAGGCAGATAAGACTAATAGGATTGATGATAGCAAAAATAATTGCAGAACCTGATTTTTTAAAAAACGGCGGGTTATTCTAGATATATAAGAGGACAAGAGTACGCACGTATACACATTTCAAAACGCCGCCCTTTCGAAAACTAAATGCACTGTGAATTCTTTGTTAACCCCTTCGCTCCAACAACAGCGACTTCAAAATTTCCTTAGATACCATTTTAATTCCAATCTCAAATCTCAAACATATGAAAAAGTAAGTGAAAAACTCGAAACGTCGATACAAGAATCAAAAATTCCACTTTTTTACATGGTGTTGGTTAGGAAAGGTTTAAATATTTGACAGAAAAAGTCTACAAAAATTCCACCTTTTAGAATCGAGTTTTCGGCTTTTTGAATTGCAGTTTTCCATTTTTCCATTTTTTCCTTGGTTTCAGGTTGTCATCGAACAATTTTAAACTATACAAATATGCAGAGTTGGGAAAATCTGGATTAGGGATTAGTGATTATTAATCCGGATTAGAATTAACTAATCCCTAATCCTTAATCCAGCGACGATATAATTTTTAAACTAATCCTTAATCCCTAATACACAATTTCATTATTGGCAAACTAATCCTAATCCCAACAAGAAAGATTGAAAGTAATCCTTAATCAAAAACTAATCATGATTCGGGATAATTTTTTTACGAAAAATACTCTGGTTGCCTATGAATTCCTCTCCCTTCTACCCTGAATTGCTCTATACCGTCTACTTATCGTTCAATTTCCATGCAACACTATTAAGTATTCTCCTGGTTCGACTAATCAATCTTACAGCTGCACTTTGCAGTCTGAAACTTTTCTAATTTTCTAGTAAGCTAAACCAAAAAAATTATTTCCGGCCTACATTAATTAATGTTATGTTCCATCTAACTCTTCCCAATTTAACTGTCATCCTGAAATTTCTAAATCTTTCAACTGTTTAAAACCAGGATACTTATTTCTACCGCGCAGCAGATGTAAATTACATTCAAAGTAATTATGGTTCCGAAAGACTGAATAAATTAAAATTAATCCTTAATCACAAAAGTAATCAGTATTATTTAAAACTAGTCCTTAATCACAGGACTAATCCGGATTATTTAATCCTAATCCTTAATCCGGATTGTTGTTAAGAAATATCTAATCCCGGAAAAATCTAATCCCGGAAAAATCTAATCCCAGAAAAGTAACTAATTCTAATCCTAATTATAATCCAACAATCCTGAGAAACTAATTCTTAATCCTTAATCCGGAGCAAAAAAACATTTAATCACCCAACTCTGCAAATATGTATACTTGGTCCTTAACGGGTTAAGTAAATTCAATATAAAATCCAGAGTAAACTTTACTCTCTAACCTCATATTGAAGTTAACCTCATATTGCATTTTAGTAGAAGTTAAGTTAAATTAAGTTTTGAGCGCATTTATGAAAAGAGTAACACTATTTTTAACAGTGTATAAAAATATGCAAAGAGAAATATACAAAGTGAGCAACGTTTTCAATATACTTTTTTTTTACTCGTGATGGTTTATAGATTTTGTTATGGGAAAAAACTTCCAAAAAATCAGAGATACAAATATATAATAAACTTTTGAATATGTGTGTAGTTAAATATGGATTTTAAATACCTACTAATAATAAAATTTTAAAATAAAGTCAGAATCAAAATGATAAAAATACAATTATATAAATTTTCAAGTGGTCCATTTACCAGCAAGATTTTTTTAGATTTCCTCACTGTTAAAAATGTGCCCATCTTTGCAAATGATGCAATTTAATCGTCTTGTTACCCCGATGGTGACAACGATACTAAACATGTAGAACAAAGGCTGGCTTCTTGGGGAAACATTTGATTAGGTAGAAACCGGTATTCTCATTCATACGCCAATCAGGCCGACACTATATTTATGCAAATAATGACTATCGCAGAATCAACATTTTTCTGATAGTTGGTCGCAGTGGCCGTGGAGGCGCGGGGACACCGGAAATTTGTGTTTGCATCGGGGATTATCCATATAGTACGTCATCAAAAATTCTTGATTTTAGCACCCACCCACCCAATGTAAACATTAAAGGATAGGGAATTTTAACATGGGAAAGATAGGAGGACCAAAACCACCCACCCACTAAAATGATGACGTAATATATGGACAATCCCATTGTGTATTTAATTTATTTATTTTTATAGGAATCAAAAAGTGGGCTCGCTTTGTTGTGACAAGATTTAAAAACGTATTTAATTTTTTTTTTAACAATTGTTCACTCATTTGAAAATATATTAGAAAATATTATTAATTATTTATTCATTTTATTTCGAATTCGCCCAATTAAATAGATTTCCCAATAAGGTGAAAAATGAGTAATGAATAAAATTAAGCATCCCTTCTTATTAAATACATACGAAATGAATAATTATTTAATTTTCATTGGTTCGAAAATTTGAAAACTTTATTCGTGAATTGTTGGAATAATGAATGAATATTTTGTTCATTTTATACGTATTGAATTGATTTGAAACACTTAGGCCTTTATCCCCGTATTGTCGTTTGTGTTATACGAGGTAGTTTAACGGGATCAGAAGCAGTTTGGGGCCGCACACATATTACGTGGCTCAAAAATTTTCTAGACCCTCTTCAACATGGGTCATAAACATTGGTACGACATCATACAAGGTGTATGGAGACCCCCCACCCCCTCTCGCGCGGCGTAATCTATGCACGGCCCCTGGGACAATTAATTGATCGTCAACAAAATAAATAGGTACAAGAGCATTAAAAACTCGTTTCTACCCATTCAATGGGTTGGAGAGTGGCTCATTTGTTGGACACGGGTACCCGGGCGTGACACAATTCGGGTACCTGACGAAACTAAAAAATCCGTTGATGACCTTACATACATAATCAAAATTCCAATCGAAAGGATGTACGCAAATACGGATGATTAAATCTATTTTGACGTCAGAGTGTCACTGAATTAATTATCAGACAAGTACGGGAGTCAATATATATTAAACGTAAAACAACTCGTTTGCCATCCGTCAATGACTTTGTGAACGGATGTGTTGTCGTGGAAATCTGCAGAATTAGTTTAGCTGAAGGTACGTTAACGGGGCTTCCCCCTTTTCGAGGTTAATTGGGGTTGGAGAAATTTCCTAGTCTCGAGAGATCAATATCAAGAGGTCAATATTGAATTGACGATTGTGTGTCCTATGGGGGGGAGAGGGAGGGTCGTGCAGAAAGGATGGCGCCAAATTTTAGAAGAATTCCTAATTTCTGAAATCAGAGGGTTGGTTTTTTAATTATAAAATTTATTTAAATAATACGATGGAAATGAGCATTTGATTTCGAAAAACTCGATTATATTTAAATTAGTATGGTTACATATTTTTTGGGATGGAAATATAAGGAGGAACATGAGAATATTTGCATATAAAAGGAGTTCCTAATTGTTAACGTGTCTACAAATTTTTGTAAATGATAAAGTTAACACACTGATAAATTTGTTAGTTGGTAATGATTTAATACCAGTTTTTTAGGGGTGTAGAAATTGATTGTAATTGCGTCAAGATTTTGAAATTTCTTTGAAACCAAATGTTATTTATATGCACTCTTAGATTAGAAACTGGGTATTAAAAGAAGTGAGCTGTATTGAGATGTGAATCTACCACTTTGGCACTGGGGGGTTGAACTACCCTGGTAAATCTGGTATTAAAATAATACTTTGTCGTAATAATTTTATTACTAATTGGTATTACATTGTATACTATATTAGTATTGACAATAATAATTTAATACCAAGTCACATATCAGTCTACCGATTTAATTCATTTGCTTTTAAAAAATTATTTTAATTTTCGTCAAAACATTGACTTTTTTAAGTGTTTTAACAAAGTTTTCCAGCAGATTCGTTTATTAAGTAGCGTTAGCTGGTTTATGTGATTGTTTTGCCCGTCCGTCTGCAGGATAGGATTTAAATATTAGCGACTCCTAAATTGATGGAAAATGTCTCCTAAATAATATACAAGCTGCCTACATGCAAAACGCCTCCTAAATGAAAAAAAAAATCTCATATGTATTTACATTTATCTCATAATTTGGTTATCTATGTAAAACCAATTCTTATCAGTTTCTTCGCTGTATGTTCCACACATCATTCTTAATATCCATTCTATCGGGCATCTCAAATCCTCCCATTTTGTACCAAGGTTTTATGTATCTCGTTTTAAAGTAATTTTAAATTAAAATGGCATCCCAAGTGCTCCGATTTGAATCTGGTGACTCTGACAGCGATTCGAACTCTGAAAATGAGACCAACCCAAGGAAGAAAAGAAAAATATGTGAGTGGGAGTTGCATCAGGAGTTTAATAGTAAACTTGAAGCACAGAATTTCCTAAAAGAGCAAAAAGAATGGAAATACTTGAATCAGTATTCTACGGAAAAAGAAGAAATTTTGAAATATGTTTGTCGAGTGTCAAAAGCGTGTAGCTCGAAATCAAGGATTATTCTACCAAAAGATTCATTGAAAGCATCAGTCGAAAAGACAATTGCAAACCATGACCATGAGCCAAAACCTTTTCGTGGTAATGCTAAATTTTACTTCATATTTGATTCATGTTGATCTGACTCATGTCATCTAGTTTATATTAAAATATATATTTAAATATTTGCAGGTATTTCCGATGAAACAAAAAAAATCATAGATAATCTTTTTGAGATTGGAACGACGAAACCAACTACCATTAAAAGAGCGTTACAACAACAAAATATAATTATAAAGAAGACACAAATTGCAAACTATTTGGCATCAAAGCGCAGAAATCGGGGACCTAAAATCATCTCATTAGGAGAACTGCAAGCAGAGGCAAACAAATACAGTCAACTTCCTCACGACTTGGATGAACCGTACGTTGATAATTCTGGACTTGAATTTGAAGAGAATCAAAAGTGGTTTGGAGTATTTTTATCGACAAAGAGATTGCTAGACATTGCGCTTCAAACACAAGTCATTCATTGCGACGCAACATATAAATTATCATGGGAAGGATTCCCCGTACTGGTTATAGGAGTGTCTGACAAGGACAGACACTTTCATCCTCTTGGTATTTCCGTCACAGCATCAGAAACGACGAGGGACTTCGAGTTTCTTTTCCGTAGTATGGTGACAAGCGTCGGACACAACTATTCTCCCAAGATTTTAATTGCGGATGCAGCAGAAGCAATCACCAATGCATTCAAGACAGTTTTTGGAGATGACTTCATTCGTGTATTTTGTTGGTTTCATTTATGTAAGAACATTGACTCGCATAAATCCCTTGTTAAGGATAAAAATTTGTGGGCGGGTATAAAAAAGAATATGTCACAACTTCAACTGGCTAAATCTGTGGAGGAGTTTAATGTTGCCCAAACATTATTCTGCCAAAAATACAAAGAAAGTGCGAAGGATTTTATTGAGTACTTCAAAAATGAACACATTGCTCAAAGATGTGGCTGGTATGAAGGCTTGGCTCTGGGATATCCCTCTACAAATAATGGTTTAGAATCAACAAATGGATGGATTAAAAAGCAAGGAACATTTAGGGAATGTTTGTCTATGGGTGACCTGTTTCGATTTTTCATGCAGCAATGCAAAGTTTGGTCGGATGAAAGAAATCCTGCTACTCCAGATGCAAAGTTGTTCATCCACACTCCAACATTAACTTTGCAAATGCAAACTAACGCATTCCAGTGGATGACCAAAAAACCTGACATCAAATATCGTACAAGTGGTGACTCAATTCTTCATTTCATATCTGCAAGTGGAAAGCCAAAATTGAAAGAAGATGACATCAACAAATTTCTCCGAATGAACGAAAAGCTATCATGGAAAAGTTTTGACACCTATCAACAATCTACAACACGTCTATGGAAAGTAACTTTCAAAATCTCTAATTGGCAAGAGTCAACATGTACCTGCCCAGTATTCATGAAAACATATGTGTGTAAACATTTAATAGGACTTGCAGTTCATAAGGGTTTATTTGCACTTCGGCCTGAGGCTAAAACTATTCGCCTAGGACGTCGGCGTGGTCCTGGTCGCCCCAAAAAATCAAGCAAGGCGTTGTTAAAAATGTAAATCTATGATAATAATATGAAATAAAAGATGTTTTTTATAAAACAATTTAGGAGCTACTTATGGATTTATATGAGGCCGCAAAAAAAATAGTTAGAGACGTTTTGCATGTAGCCACCTTGTATATTTTTTAGGAGACCTTCTGCCATTATTTAGGAGATACGTTAATTGCATACCTGCAGGATATCTCCAGAATAAAACGCGGTTTTCGCCATTGTGCTTCTAATTTTTAGTTCTTGGTCGAGTTCGATAATGGGGTCAATCGGTCCACCCCCGGGGGAGTGGTCCAGACTTAAATTTAACCTAAATTTTCATATGTGTTGTCATTTTAAATGGAATTTCGCCACGAATTGAACGACGTCAATATGTTTGACCTTAGACCTCGCTTAAGTCGGGGTCAGGGGGTCAAAAAACATTTCATTTTCATATCGGGTGTCATTTTAAAGGAAAGTTCACCACGAATTCAAGACCCTTAAAATTTCAAAATTTGTGACCACATGACTGTAAGGACAAGGTCAAAAATACAAAATTGCCGTATATGGGATAATTTTTGAAGAAATTTGAGTCGGTCTGACGCTACTTTTTACACCCGTTTGGAGGGTTTATTTGTTAATTCTTAATTGATTTCTTGGTTAGATTTAGGGTCGCTTCCTACACCACGAGCTGCTCTCATTCGTCGAATATTTCAGAGAAGGGTTTCATCACTTGGGATGGCTTGAATTACTTCCGCGGAATAGTTGGCTTTCACAGCGGAAACAATTTCACTCGGCCCAGTGAACGGATTGTTAAGGGCTTCCGATTTCAATTTATCTCTTAAGCTGGCAACTTGAAATCTAAAATTCGGCATACAAAAACTTGTACACCATTAATTATTTCATTCGAAAAACTTGGCGACGCGTAGGCGGTACTGTTTTTGGGTAAAAAATAGTGTAGACTCTAAATACACTCTAATTAAAATTTACTCAATGTTGAGTAAAACTGCCGCTAACGCAATTAAATGTGCAAAATGGACGCAATGAAAGCCAAAATTTATCCACTCTAAAAAAATTGAGCAAAATTTACTAACTTGGTGGCAACATTGCCACCAAGACGAGCTGTCTTGGACAACTATTGAGTAAAAGTTACCCAATCAAAGTTAAAATTTATCCAACTTTAAAAGATTTTTGCTCAACCTTGAGTAAATTTTAACTTTGGCGGGGTAAATTTTAATTAATGGTGCAAAATTTACCCAATTAAACTTAAAATTTATCCCACTTTGACGGAATTTTGCTCAACTTGCTGGGCAAAATAACTTTTAAAAACAAAATAAATTTTACCTTGGTCGGGCTAAATTTTACACAATTAATTGTGTAAGTGGCAATTTCACTCAACTTTGTTTTGAGTGTGCCGAGAGAAAACATCTAACAAGGGAACCTCGCGATGTAATTTTAAATTTCATTAACTAATTTAAACTTAATTTAATTTATTTGAAATTTAATTAATTTTGCACAATTAGTTGTGCTAGAGGCAATTTTACTCCACATTGAGTAAATTTTAATCAAAATTATTGTGAGTGTAGCCTCATATCGTCACAAAACGTGTGCTTAACCATTTTCAAATTTGTTGCAAACGTATTTAGAGTATTGTGCGTGTACTCACTCGATTCCGGATCTCCTACAAGTATGTTCCTTTGAAATGATGACCGTGTCGGCGGTGTTGCTTTTAGTATTTTTGATAAGGCGGCCGGTACATTTTGTCGTCCTGCACCTCCAATACTCGCGACGGCCACGTGTCTTGTACGAGACGTAGGAATGGTTTTGATACTGTAAGCAAGGCTTGTTCCTCTGGGTAATGGAAATGCTGAATAAGTCATTTTCAGGAATATTGACATCTTGATCGTCGTCAGATCTGTGGGAAGAATTTAGTAAAAAAAACAATGCATTTAGGTGATAATCATAATGTGAACGGGTCAAGTGTAGCGCTAGAAGATTTTAAAATCGTGAAAACCAAGCTTCAAGACTCGTGAAGCGGTTTGTGACATGGTTGGAATATTTGAGGGTAAAAATAAGCGATTTTTAACCAAGCGAAGCGGAAAATCGCACATTTTTCAACTTTGACCTCCAATACGAAGTACTCGACAAACGTTGCTTGTACTGCATAACTTTAAATTTGGACAAAATTCGAGCATTACACTTGACACCGTCGTATTGTCGGTTTATATATTTAATATATTATCTTACTCTGTGACCATATTTAGCAATTTGGTGTCATCCTGAGGGGGGCTACAATTCATCATGAAAATGCAACATGAAATATAATTAAATTGAGATTATTATGCACCAATGGAATCGTATCGTAAATAAGCTTTAATTAAAAAATCGTGACGTAGTTTTTGTTCCGAAAATTTATGAAAACTCGTAACTTATTTTATTTTACGATACGATTACGAAGGAATATGGGATCTCACATAAATGATGTCACGCAAAAATGCCGATTTTTCCAGCCGGGTCCCCCAACCTTGTCGCGCCACCTTTTAGCATGTCGCGCAAGTGGGGCTGTGCCACAAATATATTCCGTGCCGTGACATAATTTATGGACGCCCCGCCCATTTTATTAAGTAGCGTCAACCGCTTTATGCTATCGTTTTGTCCGTCTGCAAAACCCCTCAACCTAATCAAACCAGGTTTTCGCCATTGTGCTTTTCTAATTTTTAGTTCGGGGTCGAGTTCGAAAATGGGATTAATAAATACGACCAACCTAAACAACGCGAGGGGTGTGGTCCAAAATTTTGCTATTTATGTTACGCGGCTGACGCCACTTTTTTATGCTTGTCTAAAACAATTTAGTTAAAGCTACTCACTCGACTGGCGATCCCACACGTGTACAATTGTGTTCTTTTGAAATGATGATGCTTTCAGTGGTGTTGTTCTTCAGGGTTTTGATGAGGCGGCCGGTGCATTTTGTCCTCCTGCATTTCCAATACTCTCGAGTGCCACGTTTCTTGTACGAGATGTATGAATGCTCGAGATACTGCAGGCACGGCTTATTCCTCTGGGTAAGGGAAATATTAAACGAGATATTTTCAGAGGTGGGATCATAGTCGGGGTCGTTGTCATCTCCAGATCTGTGGGAACATGTAGGTCAAAATTATGCACTCTTAAAAATAATGTGACCCTTTCGACAGGAAAATGCAGTCGGAAATTAAGTTGAGTAAACTGTTCAGAATAAATGACACCCTTTATCGAATTACCTCTGGATTCATTAGTACACTGTAATAAAAGTCGAGTAAAATCTATCCCGCCAAACTTAAAAAATTTACTCAAGGTTGAGCAAAAGTCTTTCAGAGTTGGATAAATTTTAACTTTTATTGGGAGACTTTTACTCAATAGTTGTATTAGTGGCAATTTCACTCGAAATTGAGTAAATTTTACTAAATCTTTTTAGAGTGTATATTGTAATTAATTTAGAATTCAGAGTGCATTTACTGCTAGAAAGAGTCACACAATTTTTAAGAGTGTGCATAACTGGGACAAATAGTTTATAGAAAATTTGTTCCACAAAGAAACCTATAGATTCCTTAGTAGCACAAATTTTGTAAACAAATATATTTTACTCAAGTTGCGTCTTATCTTACTCTGGCAAGTCGTTATCGTAACGTAAAGCTTGACTGCTTAACTGGTCCATTTCTTCTACAGAATCAGGAATTATTTCGGCATCGAGGTAAAACACATCGTCAAATTCTTCTTTAATGTGAACGTCGTCATTATCTCGTCGGATGGAATCTGTACATTATCAGGGTAGAAATTTGTTTAAGAAATGTTTGGTGTTTTCCAAATTTACAGAGCACAAATTTCAAAAATATTCGCAAGCCCGAGTCGTGTTTTTTTTAAATAATTGAACACCTAAATTTGTAGAGGATTTCATTGCCACGACAAATTGGAAAATTTTCCAGATATTTTGCTCATCTTAAAACTGGACTTTGTAATTTTCATTTTTTTACAAGTTTGAAATATATTTTATAAGTTTTACAATTTGCTCAAAATTCTGGTCACAATGATTAAATTCACCTTCGACTTCCGGTTCCATCAGTTTTGCTCTATTACCGGTCGTATTTCTAAGGTTAGTTCGTAGCCCTGTCAAAATTCATGAATTAAAAAAAATTGAGACTTTACACATGTGAATAAAAACATTCTAAGCTACCTTTCGTGTTCCGAATATTTCCCAATTTTAACCTCGCCCCCTCCAAAAGTGCGTCGAGTTGGGTTTGCAACGACACGATTTCCTGTCGAAGGTCGTAAACGTCCTTAATCATGGCCAAACAGGCGGCGCAGGATTCCACAAGGTCGGAGGAGCCGCCCAGTTTTTGCGGCACGTCCGCCGTCATCACCAAAGTTTTAAAGAGCGTCGTCAGTTTGGCGTAACGGCGACGCGGCTGCGCTTGTGAGGAGAGGTCGGCTGACCCGCAGACAAAGCAGGAAGGGTCACCTTTTGTCGCCATTTGTAAACTCTGCAAAAAAATTGAATGTGAAAAGTTTTTATAAAAGCTTGTTCATCCAAATAAGTTGATAATTATTGGATTTTAAAGAACGTCCGGGAATGAATGGGAATGCGCGCTCTAGCGAGTATATTGACAAATCAATAAACCCGCGAACTATAATAATTTAAATTTCTGAAAGCCCACTTCATTAGGGTCAATTTGGTATATCACTCTTAAATTTCAAAAATGGATAAGGGTAGAAGAAGCTTGTTTGAAAGGGAGCTGTTAGGAAAACGAGTGATGGAGTTCTACAACACGACAGCCAACCGAGACTCCAAGGTGACCTAGAACTTTTTTAAGCAGGAAGGAATTCCAAGTTCAAATGTGTATTCCTACATAAAAAAGTTCAAGGATTCCGAAAATGTGCAATTCAAGAAGCCAGCTGGTCGTCCGGCGAAGCTAGCGACCACTCGAGTGAAAAATAGAATTGAAAAAATTTTCAAAACCAAGCCATCAACGTCAGTAGCTGTAGCTGCCAGGAAAGTCAAAATTTCCAAAAGCTACCTGGGGGAAATTAAGGTCCATAAATTAGGAATCAAAGCAAGGACCAAAAAACCTGCACCAAATTACAAGCCCGTACAAGAAAGTCGGATCAAGGATTGCTGTCAAAAATTGTTGAAGAAAATGCGTGGAAAAGTAGTGATCCTGGATGACGAAACGTATGTTCCGGTTGACCCTTCAAATCTTCCAGGGCGTCATTTTTTTCATAGCTCGGATCCCTCTGAAGTGGCTTATGAAGAAAAAGTACGAAAAAAAGACAAATTTCCAAAGAAATATTGCATTTGGCAATGCATCTCCAGTCACGGACATGTATCAGACCCGGTAGTTCTCGAAGGGAATATCAATCAAGATATTTATCTGAAAAATTGCGTCAAGGCTGGATTGGAAGCATTTATTAATAGGTTTCACAAAAATGATAAAGTTTTGTTTTGGCCTGACCTCGCCACTTGTCACTATGCAAAGAAAGTGACCGAGTACCTCAGAAAGAAAAATATTGATTTCGTACCAAAAGATATCAACCCACCTAATGTACCCCAACTCCGCCCAATCGAAAAATTCTGGGCACGTTCTAAGTCAGTATACTCCCGGCTTCAAGATGTGCCTGACACCTTTCGAAAATTCAAAGGACGATGGAAGAAAATCACCTCGGAAGTGGCAAAAACTTCGGGAAAAAATTTAATGAAAAATCTTCGCAAGAAAATCGAACTAGTCGCCAACGGGGGTGTGGCGGCCTTAGCTATTAATTAAATTATGTAGGTACGTATTTGGTATTATACATATGCAAAAAGTTTAAAATTCCGATAACTCATTGTGATTTTATGACCACATTTTCAGACCATTCCCATTCATTCCCGGACGTTCTTTAATTTTAACTAATTTTTTCAAAGTATTCGTATACATTTTTTTGCAGCCTAATAGATTATGAGACCGGTCGCTGCTGCAAAATGATCCTAATAAACGGCTCGTTCCATTAGTTTGATTTGCTTTATTTAATTCAAAAAGTAATTTAGTCTGATTAAAAATTAAAGCAATTCACGCTGTCCTTTATAACATATTAAAATCCGTAAATTTAGATTCACGGACGGATCGTATCTATTTTATGAAAAGAATTGGCTGAACCTTTACAAGAATCCGACTTCCATGTTTTGAAATATGCGAACTTTTGATATTGCTGATGAGCACAATTTATTTTTCAAAACTTGGTTTTGTTATTATTTCGCAACCTGCTGATGTTGATGTGGGGAGAGTTTGTCGAGACGAGGGTAAAGTGATGAGAAAAGTGAGAAATTGTCGCTTGAGAGTGAGAGAGAGTTTCATGTATTTTTTTGTTTTCATAAAATTTTATTTTTGTAAGGTTATCAGGTGAAATGATTATTCAGATGACTGCTTAGTGCTTATTAGGTTATATTTTAGAACAAGAAAGATCCGTTTTTTATAGGATGAAATTTTCAAGGGTCTTTTTTTTAAATATACGGTTTGTGGTAAAGTAAATGAGGCAATATTTATTTACAATTCGAACAAAACCATGTCACTTTTCCTGCCAAAATAGGAAGCCATCTTATTTTTTTAAACCTCAACGTATTTTGTAGGTGGGGAGAAAATTAACTAATATTGAGATCTCCTGGGTGGATCAATTCCTCTTCGTTGCAACGTGCCGATAGGGAACGTTAATGTAATACGTCATAATTCAAATTGGTAAAAATCATTGTATATTTTTCCCATAAACGTCAATGCCAATTTTGTAGACACGAATAAACCACCTTAATGCATACACCCATAAAATTAATGACTTTGAAATGACCACGTACGCCATTCAGTCACCTTGAAGAATAAACCAGTTTAGCCCGGCTTTGGTATTGCGCCAAGTTAACTTTATTGCAGCAATTAGATAATATTTGATTCTAATTATACTTTCGATCCCAAAAACCCCTTCATTTTAAAGTAAACGTTAATTGTCGGAGATTAAATAAATTGCTAATTAATATATCTTCTTGAGTAATAACTCATCATTAAGCAAATAGAAGAAAGTTTTGGTATAAAATGAGGAACGAATTGGTAGCAAATTCATTCACTAATCTTCCTCTGAAATTAAACAAGTTTTCAAGCCAACTCTACCCGGGTATCAAGCAAGATGAAGTGGATGGTTATTGTCACGGTAAGCGATATTTAGCATGAAAGTTGCTGACAACAAATTTATCATATTTCTAATAATATTACAATTTTAGGTTTTGGCACTCTGCGTTTTGCACGTTTGTTCTGCTACTGAAGTTGAGGTAGAGGTCGCAAAACGGCAGTTTAACAATAACAATAACAATGGTGGATTTAGAGGCGCTTCCTTTAATAATAACAACAACAATGCGGGAGGCCGAGTAGCGAGACAGTTCAACAATGGTGGTGGTGGATCCTGGCGCAACAATAATAACAACAATAATCGCAATCCTTTAAATGAAATCTTTTAGATTAGCAAAATCTATCATTTTGAAATAATATGTGTGTTCAATTATAATTTGTAAATTGTTGATCAATACATTCTGACATTTCAAAACAACAAATCTTATCCCCAGAATAAATTTATCGTGGAAATTCAAGCATCGTAAAGCTGGCGACCTGCCAATGATTGCCCCCTTCGAAATAGAAACCGGTTCCGTATTGGTCGTATCAAGTGGCACATTGTTCCACCAAATATTTACCACACTTGGATCCCGACTAAGGTCAAGTTCCATTCAGCAATTCTTCCGAGAGTCGTTTGGTTGTCGGGTTGATTCGTTGCCTTTGCACGACACCACCGAATCCGTAAAAGATGCAAAATTTAGCCAATTAAAACGTCGAGTTGGAAAAGGGCGGCATGGTAGCTAGAAATGAGTACCATTCTATCGCTTGGTGAAGGTCGGAAGCCCAGGAGTACTTCATACGGTACAAGGCTCCATTGGGATCTAAGTATGTCTATAACACATCCGAGATTAAAAGTACTCGCACCAGCTCTGGCAACAATGGAAATATAAGTTGTCAAAGGGAATGACAGAGCGTTGCATAGTGGCCCCTATGGAGAAGATCTCTTTCCCGTCAAAATCTCCGTTTGCCCCAATGCTGGTGAGTACTTGATCAAACCTCTCGTCTGATTCAGGCCATCTGGAATACTTTCGTATTAGCTGAGCTACCTCGGGACCGAGGGATTTATTCTGTCCGTCATACATTTCCGAGACGTTTACATTTCCGTGACGGGAAGCTATAAAAGGGACCGGCCTTGAGGGCCTATAAGTTGACGTCATATCTTTTGCATCGATTCCGTAGTATCAGAGAAAAATCAGGCTCAGTAGATATGTAGAAATAATAAACGCTCCAAGCGCCAGAGTTTCCTTTAATGTGACTTTCCATAAGTGTTTTTTGACCCCATGACCCCGACGACGACGTCAAAGGTCAAAAAGTTTGGCGTCGTTGAAGGTATAGGTGCAGGTTTGCGAATTTTGGGCCAAGATGTTTTATTGTTTAATTTTGCAGATTATGGTGGTACAAGAACAAATCAGTACGGTAGACTAAAATTACCTTAAACTACTTTTGTAGGCCAAAAAGAACTGAAGATTTCGCCATGTCAATTTTTTACAGCTTCAGGGGCCATTATACCCAAAACGGCTAAAGATTTCTTAATACTGCCAATTTGAGAAATGTTGGTACTTACATTGGGTTACTAAAAAACCGCACACCGAGCTATCATCATTCAAACCCGATCCACAAAAAAAAATATTTTGTCTACGTTTTTTTCTAATATTTCGCTTACAGTACGTTTACTGTACTAGGCTTAAATCTGACCGTAGGTTTGGGCTCGAGTAATTTTTATTTCAAAGAGCAACTACACCCATACAACATATCAAAAATTTGGAGTTTGGTATCTCTTAGCATTTTTTCTCATTTTTTGTGCATACTTTAGCTCGCCTGAAAAATTTTGAGGTGTAAGTTGAGAATTTTTTATGTAGGAATGATCTACTCATTAATACCTACAATTTGGTATATGGGTCGACCCTAGGTCATTCACTTTTAAAAACGGTGATTTAGGGTACCAAACGGTGGTAGTGAGTTACGCCGGGTTTAGACTTCACGTTATCATCACGTTCTCTCCCAATCCGATTTTTTGATTGGTCGAAATTTTTAATCGTCTTGGTGATATTTTTGATTGGCCAATTAAAAAAATCAGATTGGAAGGAGAACGTGATGATAACGTGAAGTCTAAACCCGGGGTTACAATTATCGGTACACCCCTGTGTTCACCAACCCGTTTTATTACTCTCCCACGCGTTTTATTACCGGTTTTATTAAAGGGTGTTGATTGAATTCTTTCCAAGAACTCGTGAATATTTGAAAACGTGTACCTTGAAACGATGAAACCTTAGAGGTTAATTTTTGCTATCAGAAATATTTACATCACTAATTAGTCTTTCAGCAATTTATACTAATCATTCTCTTAACTCGCATCTATCGATGTTGTCCTAATTTTAGTAAATTTGTCTCGAGTCGCTATTGGGACGAATTAAAACAACATCGCAAGCGAAGAATAACCAATGAAAAAAATATTCATTTGATTCTCTCCATGAGAATAAATCGAAGAAAAGCAAAGATTCACCCAAGTATCTATTTACATGAAAATTGACAAGAAAATACTTCCAGCAATGAAAAAAATGATACATTTCATGTTTTCACAACTATTTGGTGTAGTTGAGTGGATTGTGGTGGATCCACGGGGCGTCGTGATAAGCCAGTCACATCCCGGTAGTACCGCCCCAATTTGAATAGCTGTATTAGTCTGATACGTAAATCCGTACCCGTTCGATCCCACGATGTCCGAGTAGAAGCGGCACGTTCCCCACACGTCAGTCTTGTCCGCTTTCAGCTCCCATATATTCAATCCAGAGAAATAGTAGGAACGGATGATACTCGGCTGAGTGAAATTTTTGCCAGGCGGCTCCACAAAAAATGACGAACCCGTAAAATTCGGTCCCGCAAAGAATCTTATTGTCCTCTCGATTTGGTTGACATCCCCGAAACGGGTTAATTTCAGTAAACCACAGTACTCCATAACGGCGACGAAAGAGCAGTTGTCATGTTGCCCGGAATATATTAATCTGTCATGGCATTCGCCATTATCATTCCTGCAAAAATCTACGGACCATCTACATAGTACGTATTTTAGAAAATAGTTTAATTAGGGAGATATTTAATTTATAAGGTTTGATTAAAATAGATACGTACAATCCGTTAACTTGAGCGTACAAAGTGGACACTCCGACGGGAAAAGTGTACGTGGTTGATGCAGTTGCCGAGAAAACGGGGGCAGTAAGACATTGTGTTGAATTGTACAGATTTATAAATTGTGAACGTTGCCCGGTTACGGTGGATGTGATTATCAAGAAAATTAAGGTCAGGAAAGAAGCGTAATTTGACGACATTTTCGGTCTGAATTTGTTCGTGGTGAATACTGAGCACAATTTGTACCGAGTTACCTTACGCGACGTATGACAACTTTATACTGGTGTTTGATGTGTATGCAATATCTGCCATGTATATACTGCAATATTTCTATAGTTGGTGATAAGTATGATGATTCAGGATTTCAGGGTTGTACAAACTCGGAGAGTAGGGAAGCCGTGTCCTCGGGGTTTTCGGGGTTTTGTATTTCCGTGTGCGCCCAAAGTTATTATTGCAACCGTGGAAAAATTCACGGTACATACCCTGGTTGATGATAAATAGGTACATATCGTGCGGTTTACCCGTATATGGATGTAGGTGTGCGATACATTTGTATGCATACATGATTAAGCTTATTGAATGGTTGATAAAAAGCATCTTAACAGTTTTCTCGTTCGGCACGTTTGCATCGAATAACTAATGAAAATGTGACCATGCTAATAAAGTCTTTGAGAGCATCTGGCGTGAAATTGATGTCCCCCTTTTATCCCAATTCTTCATTGCATATGTTAGAAAGCAATGATGAAATAATTATGATTTATGATGATATTTATTTCCTGCTGCAAATTAATAGTTCACCATTACGACATGACAGAAGGAGTTGGCATGTAGATAAACCTCTTAACGATGACTTGTACGTATATTTTGTAGCATTTTATTTTCTGTGCGGGTCGAAATATATAAATTCGATTCAATAATTGAATTTATTCAATTTGTTCAAACGATGGCAGCAGCCCATACACTATTAGCAATTTGATAATAAAAAACAGGCGAAGTAGATATATTACTCTAGCGTGACGAAATTAAAAATTTATACCGTGTTGGTATAAAGTCAAATTACTAAAGGATGACAAAAATGATAACAAAATATAACAAATTAGACACCATCAAAGTTCAACACTCGTGCCACCCACGAACAAAGACAAACAATATTAAAAATCGGAATCTGTTCAGACACAGGCAAATTTGGTTTGGACAAGATTCTAGTGATTTGCAGATGTGATTTTCCGAGTCCCACGGTAGCAATTTCTACTGTCCCCCGGCAGAGCGGGAGGAGCTAAATGTTTGAAAAAATTCCTCGGTGTGAGATTTTTAGTTAAAACGAGTCTAATTATTTCATGTATCATGATGCCCCAGAATTTCGAAACGGCACTGATTTTTGCTCGGCAAAAGGGCACAAAAGCTGTTTTGTCACATGGCCGTTTTGCTAGGGAGTACACACATTCTAAAAACTGTGGTAACAACGCGGTTACCACTGTACTCTATATATGACTATACCGCCATGGTAATAAAATTGTTACGGAATAGTAATAATTTGTTACCGTGCCGGTTGTATTTTTAAAACGGGTGGTAATAAATTATTACCACTCGGTAACAATTTTATTACCATTGCGGCATAGTCATATATAGAGTACAGTGGTAACCGCGTTGTTAACACAGTTTTTAGAGTGCAGGGCATGATGATGATCATGTTCGAGTTCAGGTCAGAAGACGTATTGCTTCCTTGTTTTCCAAAAATTATGGAACCAGATAAATATTTATTATTTAACTTGTTGGGATAGACAACTCCAACCCAGTGACTGATAATACATTACATTACATTATATATATATCAAATATCTTTAAATGATAGTGAACAAATTCTAAAAATACAGACTTATTATTTAAGTCATGATATTTACCCACTTAATATATAAATTGATAAATTCATGGAAAATTATTATTAAGTGGATATTTTTATAAAGGAGTTTAACCACTGAGGAAAATGCGCAATGAGCCAAATAATCATGCACATATTATAACGAAATAAATAATATCAATCATTTGATCTCTTGACATCTTGGTTTCTTATTAAGTATCCCGATATGCCACCACTTTCGATACGAATTCGGTACGAGGTCAGCAAAGTCAGATTTGATTCGTGCGAATTCGCCGACAATAGAACGAGGCCGGAACGAGTTCTGTTCTACACGTTCAATCGGAAACGGAAACTCGACATCGTCCCGAAGTCCGACTTAAGTCTGTAAAACCGCTTTCGTAAAAACGACTCAGAAACGCAGTCAGAGTCATGTCGTATTACCGCATTCTGATCGAATTAGGATACTCGCATCATTTCTGATTCCGATTTAATACAGGTTCCCATAATTCGTACTGAATTCGTAATGAGAAATTGTAACGAAGGTGTAAATCAGAATTCGCATCCCTGATTTTAATACACCTTCGCTCCGACTTCCCCAACACAGCTTGACTAAATACGGGTTTGTGTTTTGAGTCAGACTCAAACATCGACATGTGCAAGTACCAGCTCCCTCCATCATTACCAAAATGAGAAATAAAAACGTGAAAACTAAAAAGTGAGCAGTCTCTAATTTCCATCGAGAAAAGAAAATTGCAATTGTTTGCTGTTGGTGGTTGACTGCTGCAAAGGCGTTGTGTTCTTGGCCTACCGGTCCTTCTTCTGACGAATTTTTAGGAAAAAACACCTCTCCAAAATATAATTGGCCAAATTATCCGTGCACCGTTGCAGGAATTTAGTGAGTCTTAATTTATACTCCCCACTATACGTCATCAGTTTACAGTCTTTCGGTTTAATTTCTAAAATTGATATTTCATAATTCTTTAGGCTCCTTAGAATCTGCAGAGATAGGATGTTCAGGCAAAATAAATGGACCAGGTCCTTCTTCTGGACGGAATCTGATCAGATTCCGTCCCTAGTAGGAATAAGTTCGGGAAGCGAATCGGAACAGAATCCGATCGTGGCAGGAATCCGAATACTGATTGGGTTCGAATTCCGAAGTAGATGCGAATGCGTTTGGAGAATTCGTTACGAACACAACTTGTGCGACAAATCCGTAGTTCGATCAGAACGTGTTATACGAAGTCATTCAGAATTCGTTCCGAAGGCGGGTGGCATGTCGGGTATGACCTCGATGCATCATCTGAACATATTTACATTAAATATTCATATTACATATTGATTTATAAATAAGTATGTTGGATGTAAGTCTCACCACACGTTATAGATGCCTATTAAATATCACTAACGAATGAAAAAAGTAAAAATAATAATTTTATTTTTTACAGAAATATTCACTTAAAACAAAAATTCAAGAAATATTTCGTCCTCGACAACATTCTTAGCTGACAGAAAACTTATCCCCGTGGGCGCTTTCCCGAATGGACACATTTTTTCAGATGTTTCGAATAATGTTGACCGTTCGGACACCGTTGTTCCAGAGTTTTCGTGACTTGTAGAAGTTTAAAAACTGGGGCGGAATTTGATTTTTTGATAGTTTGGCGTGCAGCAACATCACGGGACTGGACAGTGGTTAAGATAACCAAGATAGCAATAACCATGAGTGTGGATAATCTCAGTTTTATCATCGTTATGCTGAATTTCTGCACTGCAAATAAAATCAACACAATTTTTAGAGTCATGCACGTTACGATTTTTGCTAATGGCGTTATACATATGGTAATCTTGTACTACAATTCGGTTAAAATTTAAATCCGAAATTGTGAAGATTACTACTAAATCTTTACTATAAGTTGTACGTGTAATTTCCAAATTGCTGAGTCAAATACGTTACGAATTTGTAGGAAATTAATTACCAAATTATTTGCAATGTGTACTAGGAAATGACAATAATTGCAAAATGGTTCATAATATAATTAAGTTTATAGTAAATTCGATATGTATCAATCTCACCAAATTTTACCGAGATGAAAGGAGGATTGAGCTGTATAAAATTCTAAGAAAAGTTGTGATTCTGAACAACTTTATTGAGAAAAAGTAACCAGATAAGTCTTGGTAGAAGGGGAACCTCCAACTAATCTCAGATCCCATGAAGCCTGTCGTTAAATATGTACATATTTACGTACATACATATCAATGTATAAATATGTTTGTGAAGCAGATTGTGTGACTTGTTAGTACCTATATATTCCATCTAAAATTGTCGATTTTTCATCTCCCAACGATTTTCAAGTTTGATAGCTTAAAATTTTCGTAATTTTGTGTACATTAAGAATCCGTAATAAAATGGGGGGGGGGGGGTGGGGGCCCGAAGACAGTTTTCGAGATGAAAGCCAAAATGTGCGAATTTTTTGCTAATTTTGAGAAATTTGATTTTTGTCTCTAAATCGTCAAAATTCAGCTGAATAGCACTGTAAATAATTTAAAACATTATTTTGCACCAAAATTTGGCCACTGCCTCGAATTTGGGCCCCCACTTTACAATTTGCACGATTTTCAAAAATAATTGAATTTGGCGTATTAATTAGTAAACGATCGAAATATGGAATTTATTAAACTTATTACGTGATAATTCAAAATTTTGTTACCAACTCGGACGTTGTTAATAAGTCATATGACCTTTGGAATAATATTTGGCCACTGCCTTGAATTCAGATACCCCCTTGACCAACTCGAGTCAAAAACATTTTAAGGGGTTGCTTGAGCCAGCTCGAATAAAACTAATCGACCTGATATATATTTTTAGGATACAACGGATTCTTTAGATAAGTTGTTTCTAAATGAGAATTTTGTTAATCACGCGTAGACTTGTTTTTATAACTATGTAAATTATAAGTTGACCCGTAGATGAACAACGTCCGGCACAAAATTAATTGAATTTTACTACGTAATTTTTAAGTATCGTGGAAAATGGGGGACATTGTTCGTACAGAAATTTACTTCAAAATTTAAGAAATTTAATTTAATTCTAATATATCACTTCGACGTACTGCGTCATTGTAATTTTTCCATGAAGCTGTGCTGAATATATTGCTAGGCTAGTAAGAGGCCCGTCGTACGACGGGGTCGAAGGCCAGACGTTAAGAGTTAAAACGATCCTGCAGAAAATTGCCGGCGCACCGCGGAATTAAATATTTCCCGCCGAAGCTATGTATAAATTAACCGCTAAATGCGTTGTAGTAATATTAAGGAGAAAAAAATTATCTTACAATTCACTTAGAAATAAACTGACTATTCGAAAAACCCAAGTTCCATGTTTTAACTTCTGGCCTTATTGAGATTAGATGTTGGAAAGGTATTGGTTTTAACCATTTTTCTCATTAAAAACTGCAATATCAATAATTTTGACCAACGCTATCGCCCCCGAGCATTTTCTTGGTATTGCGCCGCTTAAGTTAGGAATTAGTTACGCCGCAGCCGATTGGATGGTTGACGTCGATCTATGGGTTTGCAGTAAAATAAAAACTCAATAATTTAATGCTTGTATAACTTATTTAAATTTCCCGCAATCTATTTTCCTATTAAGTGATCTAACACTGGTTCTTATATTTTCCATTTTCATGGATTCTTTATACCCTATCGGATTTTAAAATCAAAAATATAAAAATCTAGTTTTGTGTATTCATCAAAAACTTATAGGAATTGTTGTCATTTCAAGATACATATTTTATGCTTTAACTCGTCTACGTTCAGCACCTACAGTGATGATATGTTATGATAAGGCTCACATACCAGGCCGAACAATACACATACATAAATTCACAATCGGACTCTTGAAGATAAGGAATTGGTAATATACTGATAAGCATTACACAAATGAAGTTGGTTACAAATATTTGTACATACGGCATACATATAATATTCTGCAACCTTGAACTTCACCAAGTCAGTCGATAACCGAATGTCCAAGCCCATAGTTACCTAAAAAATCAGGCAGCCGCATTTCACGGCCAACCCAACATTAAAAGGGTTACAACTTTGAAACAAAATTCCAGTTAAATTTAAACCACCGATTTTACAATATGACAAATAATTTCAACGTTTCGGAGGTGGTGGAAATTCTTTGTAGTGATGCATACCTTGCCCAAGAAATTGAAAAGTTTGCCGACTTGCTAGACCTTAGACCAAGCGACAGGATAACTTCAAGAGCTCAATGCACTATGGGAACGATTACACTGACACAGTACCTCACTATTTTGCTACAACAATGGGTCGGACGCTCAGGGAACGATGCAACCGTGCCTAACTTGATTGAAATTCTTAAAAATGGGGAATTCATCAATGCCGCGGGTAAGCTGCATATGTAGATTTATATTTTAGACGCACTTCTTCATTAAAATGTTACATCTAAAATTGTAAAATTGTATTATGATTCAAAGCTCTTTTAAACTTATTTATGTTCCCAGATCAACTTAGCGCCTGTTTAGGTCAAAGCGAGGCATCAAGCTATGACGATGATCTACCTCCTTCAACGAGGCTCTACGTTGGACGATCAGAACAAGAAAAGGATATCGTTAAGTACAAGGAAAACTCAAATATCTGCATCATTCACGGACCAGACGGGATTGGAAAGACCCAATTCGTCCTAAAAACATTCAAGGAACGCACTAACTTTCAATTTTTTCGTGGCGATAGTATCACCAACTTGAGAATGTCGTTGGAAAATCGGGCCAAAAGACTTGGATATAACATTTCCGAGCAGGGTGGTATTAAAAAATCGTTAACCGATTTATTCAAGTACGTTTCTCGAAAGGAGAACAGAGCTGGTTTAGGATTAGTAACGGTTATCGATGAATTGAACCTGCGTCGTAAGGAAACTACTGAACTGAAGGAGGAAATTGCTAATTTCATAAAGATCTGTTCCACCGGTACTAAGCACTTCCTTGTCATCACATCGATAAGGAGAGACGTAATATGCCTAAAAGGTTTTGAAGCAATTGGCTCGAGGTTTCTGAAATTACCTATTTTTGAAAATGACGAAGCCGACGAATATGTGCGAAAGAATTTTGAACACGAAGCTGAGAATAATATTAGGGAACTAAACAGGGAATTAGGGAATTATCCACTTGCAATTCATCAAGCAGTTGAAACGATTAAGGGCAATGACATTACAATCGAGACATTCTTGGCTGACTATAAAAGCGAAGGGTTATCGATTGACAAGCCATCTGAAAGTAATTTTAAGACATCTATGCTTTCCATTATGAGAATGACCATGTCGAAAATTGTTCATGAATCAAACGGTTTGATGGCAGTACAAGTTTTGCAACTTCTGGCCTTCATGGAAAGCGGTCGCACATTATTACTAGATTTGAAAGCAATTTCGTGCTATTGGCATGAAGTTGACTCCACGCATGTAGAGCATTGCATTCAACTGCTTTCAAATTTTTCTTGTATCGATCAAGATTCCGACAAAAGAAGTGTGTCGATACACCGCGTCATCCAAAAGGTTGTCCGATTAAATTTGCGGAAATATCAGGGAAATGGCATAAATATGGAGGCATTACACCTTAAACAATTTTTCCACAAATTACTTTCCAAACATAAAGAAAATATTCCATTTATACAAGAGTCCTCACAAAGTAGACTCACACAATTGGCTCGAATGTGGACTTTATTTTCATACAAATATCTTACCACAAATCATGAGTTACACGAGATACCAAATCTGATATATTCCGCATATGTGAAGCTGGGGCTTTTCTCGTATGCAAAGTCGTTCATTTTTCAACAAAAAAAAAATTTTACGAAAGATTTAGGCGATAATATCATAAGTACAGTAGATATTGCTAAAAACTGCGCCATTGCTATGCGGAATTTAGGAGATTATCTCACGGCGGAAAAATTATTTCGGGGTGTCCTGATCGATGAGATAAAACTTAAAGGCGGCGACCATGAAGAAACATTGGACACCGAACACTGGATCGTGTCAATGTTATTTAGGCAAAAACGGTACAACGAGGCGGAAAGTGCGGCCAAACACCTAATCACTAAATGTCAAAACAGCAAGTACGAAAAGCTTGAAATGAAGGTTATACAAGTGTTAGCATTTATTACTGGCGCGAAAGGTGACCACTCGGGCAGTCTGGAGAAGCATACAAAAGTGTGGAATTGGCGAAAAAAAGAGCTTACGAGTCGGCATAAAGAAACAGTTGCATCATTGCATAATATAGCACAGTGCATGTACGAGCAGGGCAAGTATGACGACGCATTCAACATCTTTACTAAGATTGTGACAGAATTTCTCGGATTACGAGCAGATTCTGACGATTTGAGATCTAGATATTGGCTAGTTATGTGTGAATATCGAAAGGCTTTCTTCGATCCAATTGCGACGTCAAAGCGTTGTGTTGGAAACTTGGACAGCATTATAAAAAGCCTGAAAGAATTAGGATGGGATGACCGGCACCCAGACCTTGACGAGGCTCTAAAGAGCAGACGCATGATTATGGAACAGATAAATGCAATGGGTCTACAGGGTAGTTCGTCTGTATCCAGTGAGCTATCGAACGTTCCTCCGTTGCATGTCGAGCCACACGTTGTTCTGGACGTTGACGACAACGTTCATATCAACGGTGATGTTGAACAAGGTGGCAGTTGTTTCTCAAATCGAAGATGTTCTTGGGCATGGTTGACATTGCTTGTCGTTTTCCTCTTGTTGTTGGTCTGTATAAGTTTGTGTCTGTTCTTTTTCGTTTTCAAATGACCAAAAAGAGCACAAAACAAATTTCTTGAACCCAAGCACACGTACGGCGACTTAAAAAATTAATACTTTTTAGCTTTGGCGACTAATTTTTTAATTCCCGCGACTTCGCTTGCGCATTCAGTACTATTGATTCTATAGAAGGACCACGTATGATACACTCTAAATCATTTCTTCCTTAAAAGATTATTATAATTTTAATTTCATTAAACACAAAATAGCTTATGACTTCCTTGATGCATAATTACTTTTAAGCAAAAAGTTCTCAAAGGATACACACTTGCAAATTTGAGAAGTGAACAAATTGAAACTTTTTAGCGATTAATTACACAAAATTTGAAGATCAGTTTATCAATTACTGCTTAATAGTTTACTGATGTAATTTTAAATTAGCTAATAAAAACTTCTAAACTATACTTCCTAAACCACAAAATATATTTAGTCCTACTTTACAATTAGAATATATATAGAATACGAAATTTACTGACTAATTTTGTGCAACAATAACAGGAAAAATAAACCGTTGTAACGTTAGAAGTAGCTCACCCTGTAGTAATGATAATTTGGCATAATTTTCCACCAATGGTGCAGAATTGGCAGATAAAATAGATACGCAATTTAGCATAATTTTGCATTAATATTACAGAATAGGCGGACAAAAGATATACATAATTGTGATATAATTTTTCACCAATGGTGGAAAATAAACGAGGAAAATGAATTCATAATTTTGACATAAAATCTTGACAAATTCGAAGTAAAACATTATAGTTATTTTTTTCGGTTCTTATGCACGTTTGGTGTCTTTTACATCTATTGTCCCAATTGTTTGGCACCATTTTGTGTTACCGACTGTTCGAGACCAATGGTGCTACTAATTTGCTAAAATTTGCACATGGGGCAAATTAATTAGCATCAATTGATGCAAAAACCTCGTGAACAGACAGACAGACAGACAGACAGACAGACAGACGGACAGACAGACAGACAAGAGGAATTCAATAGCTCCTCTGCTACGCAGGGTGAGCTAATAATCTAAATTCCGGTATTTATTTCGAAAAGGTAAACTTTTAAAAAATTCTGTAAATAACTAACAAACTTTTAGTTGTATTATGAAAAATAAGCAAAAACATGTAATCAAATCACAACATTTCTCAAAAACAATACGGTAAATAATTGTATTCTCAATTTCAGACTACTATTAGTTTTAATTTAATTTTAATTTGCTCATAATTATTTTTAATTTGGTTATAATTATTTTTAAATTGGTTATAAGTAATATTAATTTGATTATAATTATTCATTAATTCCTTAATAAAACAATTCAAGATCCGATCATGTGGAAATGTAGGCTGAAAACGATAAAAAATTTGAAATACTATGCGTCCAGTATATAAGTATCTGCTCCTTGCCATTCGAAAATATTATGATAAGTGTAAAACTAACAAGGCATTTTCAATTTTTGGCCACAAAGCACGACCAGCTGTCTCATTTTGGAGCATGTTAGGGATTTTGAGAGAGGAGAATAATTCTAATCGCGTCGTCATTGGGAGAGGATGAGACACTAGTTTTCTAACAAATGGAAAAACTATTCCATAAATATTTAACTAGTGTTGCCGGTGAGACGAATTAAAATTTTTTTTACAACCATTGGAATTTAAAATGTGAATCTATTTTATAATTTCGAAAAGTCCGTCCCGTGAAATTTTCCGTGACATTCCTGTGTTCTGATTGGCTATTGGCATTCTTGCTCAACCAATCAGAGAACGGATTCGATTTTTGATTCTGATTCTGATTCCCATTACCATTACCATTCTCATTCTCATTCTCATTCTAATTCCCATTCTCATTCTAATTCTAATTCTCATTCTAATTCCCATTCTGATTCTGATTCTCATTCCCATTCTGATTCTTATGAATAGAAGGTGCCACCGCACAAAATTTATTCGGCAACCTTGAAAATATTCCTTGGCAACGTTAAAAAAATTCCTTGGCATCGTTGAAAAAATGCCTCAGCAACCTTAAAAAAATTCCTTAGCAAAGTGGAAAAAATTCCCTAGCAACCATAAAAAAATTCCTCAGTGACGTCAAAAAATTCCTTGGAAAGGCTAAAAATGGCTTAGCAGAAATAATACAAAATATTAAACAAGCCTAATATTGTTATGGCCACATTATTTGATTATTACTGCTCTTATTTAAGACCGTAAATATAATTTTCATTGAGACCAATCAGTTGTACAACGCTATAATTTAATTTTGTTACATTACTGTTAGACAAAATGTGGCCCGGCTTTAAGACGGGCTTATAGGCTAGTTAAAAATTATAAAATTATAAAAAATTACAATTTAAATTAAAAAACAATGAACAATTAGAAGTTGAATGACTCCGGGCGAAGTGAAAAATTAATAACAGTACAAATATATGTAAAATGATTACGGCACTGATCAAACATTGCAGTCACGTGTTCATCAGTTGAGTAAAAGCGGAAAATTTTTTATCACTGGTTCCAAACTGTTATCCAAAAGGGTAATTTAGACAGGTAAAATTTAGTACGTCTCTTAGTACGCTTAGAACTTAGCGTCTCTTTTTCGTGTAATAAGGACAGACAAGTCCCATGAAAATTCAGTGTCGTCTCTCTGGTCCTCTAAGTAACATCAATTCTCTCGTCACTCTTAAATTTGTACACTCACATTCGAAATCAAAAATATTTGTAGTATCCCAATTGTGACTAATAAATAACTATCAATAAGTTACCATTTAGTGACCCCACCACCGCTCATTTCCACGGTCACAGCCACACCACCATCAGTCAGTCATAGTCGTCACACATGCACTTACATACAGTCGCCCAATAAACTACACGTTGTATACAACAGATGTGTTAGACGAATATTTTACACTGGATAATATTAATAGTAATAATATAGCAGTGGTGGATTAGAGACATAATTTACGTTTGTATGAACTTCCTGTCATTTGATTTAAAATGACTGGTTTTTACATACCTGTATAATTTACTCCTCAATTCTACACCCAGATATCACCGAAAGAACTAGTCATCTATTCATCCACAGCCTGTGGACCACAGGTCATTATTAGAAATTGCGCAACAAATTTCGCACATGCCGCATAATTTAGGATAACTCTGTCTGAAGTGTAGAAATAAAAATGAAGTTGTGCCAAATTCAACACGTCGATTTCCAATTATATTTTTATTGCACAGACTTTGTCATTCTTTGTGGGCAAAACTAGTTTAGCCTCGATACATCTGCCTTTTGGATTAAATTTAGTTATGATGGGTGTATATTAAACTTTGTAGATGGTAAATATATATAAATATAACAAGCTCTATAGACCATTTTTCTCGCCCTTTTTTGAAGTACAGAATTTTCGGACAAATTTACAAAATGCAGGTGTCGTTAGCTATTATCGTTTTAATGTTTTTGGTCGTTGCTGCAGTAGCGGGTAAGTTTTGTTTTTAGACGGAATTTAACTTTATAAATATGTTTGCGCATTTATTTATTTAATTTTACGCATAGCTCCTCAACTTTCGTTGGATGTTGCGAATGGGAAAGTGATTCTTACCGAATTAGTTCCTGCTCAACCCAATCCGTACAATTTTATTCCGATTTGAAGTACAAATAAAGTTCTATCCTGAAGAAATAGTAAAACTAAAATTCTAAAAGTTTGTACAAACAACGATTTGAACTTTCTTATGAAAACTAAATTTTTACTTTAGAACCTTTGTTTTGTGCAATGCTTCGAGTTTTTTATCGCTGCAAAAACGATACCATGTTCATATCATCCTCATTGTAAACCCTATTTGAATAAACAAATTGCATTCGAAATCAGTTATCGTTATTTTGATGTTCATTCAGTAATTATATTTAATCATAATTTCATTTCGCGTCATCCGAACGCTTTTCGCACTCCGCTTGATGTAAGAAACACAGGGAGAAAAATGAAAATAGTGAAAAGTAGTCATTCATCTGGGAGGGAACCTTTCATTCATTTTCTTTCACAAGAAAACAAATTAATTTCGCATTCAGTGAATGAAGGTGAACTCATTATTTTGAAACCCACTACAAACTTTGTCAGTTATTGTTAGTCGGCATAATTAATTATAAATCAAAATGCAGATTTTGCAATCCAGGGTAAACCAGATTTCTGAATGGGAGGGATGTTTACAAAGACTTATGGTGTTATATATGAAAATATGCGGCATGTGCGGTATTTGTTTCCAAACTTTTAATAAAGTCAATGTTACTGAACAGATAAATAATTCTTTTGCTGGGTATATTTAGCTTTTAGACATAAAATGCTAACGAAACAGGTCTCCCAACGTATGCTGTCATATTTTTACCAAATTAGTCTCAATCCATCACAAATGTAATAATATCCCGTATAAAAATCGTGTGGCAACTTATGCATAATACCGCACACTTAGTTGGCATAATGATTTATGCAGAAAAAATTGTGCATAATTGTGCATAAAATTCTGGAGAGTATATTCTGCATAAAAGTTTATAAACTGAAATTTTTATGAAGAGACTTTTTCTTCATGCAAAGCCTATGGCTAGCAATCTCTGTTTTTAATAGAAAAACCATAGCATAATTATGCATAATCCTGCACAGTTTATGCACAAATCACGATTCATAAATTATTTATGCATAAAATCCAGCCAAAACTCGACATAAAATTCAGCCAAAACTCGACATAAAATCTGTTAAAATTTTTATACGGGATGGCATGCGCAAATAGATGTACCTATCAATACTCAGGTTTTGCAGAGATATGAGCATCCAAGAAGGAGAAAGTTGACAAATACGGAACTATCCAAATTTACTGCGGGTAACGGGAATTTTCTTGGTCGCGAGTACGACAAGCATGTTAAATTAGTAAAAAAAAGTTGACGACGTTCGCGATAAATATCTGAAAGAAGCTCGCAAAAAGTTGTTTAAAAAAACGTTCTGACATGCCGATGAAAATGCTTCAATTAAAGAAAAAAATCAGTACCTAATATTATAACTATGTTTTGTGTAAAATTAATAGGCCGTTTTTTTTTAATTTTGGTAAAATTTTCAAACTTCATTACTAATTATGGAACTATGGAAATCTTTTTAAAACAGCTGGAATTTTAAATGCAATTAAAAATTTATCTAAAAATGCAAATTTAAGTTAAACATATATTTAAAATTACTAACTAGACGACTGCACACGGAGTCAAAATTTAAAAAAACGCCTATCAATTTTGCACAGACCATAGTCAAATGATTAATGATTTTTTTTATTTGTCAACCTCACATCCGACTTTGTCCATCTTAGAACTCAGCCAAGATTTTGACATGTTTTATGCATAGAGTTTTACACATAAAACATGTCAAAACATATATTTATGAATATAATTTTTGCGATAAATAACTATGTATATGGCGTCCGACCGAGAAGAAACATTGGTTATTTCAATAGTTTATTATCCATCCAGTAAAAAGATCGATAATCTGAACTACAATTTTTATACCTTAATTAAAATTT